CCAAAATCTACAGGAGAGGAATGTCTGGCTGGCTTTGGCTCTGAAGCTAGAGGTAAGCAGAGGTTCTGAAGCCTTGGGTGCAGCCCTGGGCTTTTGTGTCTGGGCTGTCCTGCTGGAATGGTTGGCATGGACAGGAGTAGGTAAAGGTGGGACCTGGATGCAGGGCTGGACTGGCATATGCACCACAGCATACCTGCATGAAGTGGGTTTGAGCTTTCCCAGCATAGCTACTCATTCCTGGTTCTCTAGGCACTCAGAGCCCCAGTGTGGTGGGTGAGGAGCAATGGTCTGACAGGCCATAAATATGGGTGGTGGGCCTGGTTCCACAGGTGGCTACCAGACTTGAAGACATTAAAACAAGCCTGTGTCCAGGTGAGTCATGCTAGTTCATTTTAGTTGTCCACCATTCCTCCTCCCCAGGTTTATTGAGGGTCCAACTTGGTTACAGGGTGAGTGAGTACCCGCTGCAAGTGAGACTGAATGAGCACCAAGGAGGCAGGGCTTGTGGCCAAAGCCACTTCTTTCTTCAGGGGCAATGCCTAGGGTTGGAGCTCTGTGCTGTCAGAACCAAGACCTTCTGTCATGGGTACCTTCATTGAAGCCTCAGACAGATGCCAGAGCAGGCAGCACACGTGCCCTCTGACCCCGTCCTGAGTCTGGCCCTGCCCTTGGCCTCTGAGGAACTTGCCTTTTAAGTTAGAGCTGTTCAGCGTTTGTTGGGATACAGTTTCTGCCCCTATCCTCTTGCTGTGTTACAAACTAAGCCCCTCTCCCATTCACCCCAAACCGACTCTGCAAGGGAAAAGGACCAGTGTTGTCATCTTTTCTTGGGGTGGACACTTGGGTGTTCTTGGCAGTACAGGCAGAGTTTTTGGATTTCTCACAGCCTCAGGAAGAGGCTGGCTTCCCAGTAAAGCTGCCCTGGTACTGTGGGGAATCACTAAGCCAGGTGCCTCCTCTGCTGCCTGGAGGGAGAGGAGGGATGCTGGTCTGCTGGCTCCTGCTCTCTCCACAAGGCAACTCACTAGTCTCCACTACCTGGGAGTAATGTTCATTTCCATTTTAGATGAAGAATTTGAAGTTCAAAGAAATTAACTAAGTTGCCCATTTATTTTTATTTTTATGCCATGCTGGAAATGGAACCCAGGCTTTGCTCATGCTAGGCAGTCAAGTCTTCTACCACTGAGGTACACCCCAGCCCCAGCCTCTACTTCCCTTTACCATAAGAGTTACAGCAGCTTCACTTTCATTTTCCAATGAAGTAACATCAACTAAATTAAAATGAAAGGGAGAGTCTGCCTTTGTGCTCTTGCTGCTTTTTTTCTTTGGTAGGGGCTCTTGACAGTGTTACTCCTTTTGGAGGTGGGAGAGGTTATTCTGCAAGAGAACATGGAGGAGGACAATGCTAGCTCAGCCCAGTTGAGTGACTAGCTATAAATGGAGGGAGGTAGCTGGGGCACTGCCCCTCTTGGCCCTCACCCAGGTGACAGCTGGTCTGCCCTTACTCAAGACCCCATGACACTCTTATGCCACTAAAAGTAAAGCAAAGTTTCAAGTGCGGTGTGTTTAAAGGAGGGTTCAGAAGGACAAGGGGACATAGCCTCAGTCCTGAGACACTGAGGGGGTGTGCTGGGTGGGTAAAAGGAAGAGCAGGGGCCAAAGATAAAGGCTTCTTTTTCCTAGGGGCAGTCTACCAGTGATCTGTGCTCTCACCTGCCCTTCAGGCCCCCTCCCTCCTTCCTTTCCCCCTCATTGGAACTGGCAGCCCAGTCCTCCAGGCCGCTAACCTCCCTTTCTGGAGTCTTCAGCCAGTACAGAGCAGGTTGCCTGTACTCTGCCTGTGCAGCTTGAGGGCAAGAGACAGGACATCTCGCCCTTTCTGCTTCTGTGGGGACAACTTCTTCTAGCCCTGGGCAGGTTCAAGTTCAGACCCATCAAACACTGCAGTCTTTCCTAATTTCCCCCTCGGTTTTGAGACTGATGTGCTGGGGGTAGAGATGGCTTGTTTGCTGACTTTGGAGTATGGTTGTGGGGACTTGGGGTTCGACTTGCGGTTCTCTGGGTCTTTGAGCTCAAGGTCCTCTGGGCAGCTACTAGTCTTCGGGCAACTGTTCAGAGTTGAGGATAGCCAGACTGGTTTTTCCTAGTGAGAGTTTGCTTGACACTGGGTAGGTGAGAGGTAATCCGCCCTGGGAAGTCCCTCCTGAGTACCTCTCCCACAGGGGCGGAAGAGGGGGGATCGGTCAGGACATGGACGGGACTGGGGGGGTCTGGGGCTGGATTACCTGTGCTTGGGGACAGAACTTCCCAGAGAGGAGGAGGGCAGTGCTGGAGGAACCCAGGATGTCTTGTCCCTTGGCACTGGTTGAAAGTTCCTGGATGAACTAGTGTTAAGTGGGAGGACCAACAAGAGGATTGGCCAGGCTGGAACTGGAGCCAAGCCTTGCTGCTTTCCCGGGATCTTCCCCCAACCAGCCCAGCTGGACCACCCTCTGCAGGTTGGAGGGGCCCCAGCAGGCTGGGAGCCCCTCCACTCAGCCCCACCCCAGGGAAAAGCCACTACCAAGGTTCTCACAGTGCTTCAAAGCGTGACTCACACAGTTCTCCTCTGGAGTGAACTGGAGTACAGCAGCAGCAGGAACAGGCAGCAGAGACCCCATCCTCTCTTGGACAGTGCTGAGGCAGCGCCTGAGGCAGCACATGAAAGCTGGGAGTGATTTTGCAATGTGCTTTGATGGCCCAGCATGTTTTTAGCGGGCGATGGGGGTGGGGTGGTGGGGGGATGTTAGCAGATTCAGTGGAGACTGCTATGCCTGATTTGGAAATGGGACTTGCACCCTGTGATTATAGGGGTTCCCTTGATGTCCGTCCCCTGGGCAGTACCCACTGTCCCTGAGAGACAGAAGTGTGAAATGGGAGGTTAAAGAGAACTGTCTTCCACAGGGAATACACTTCCAGGTTCTGGGAATAGGCTCCTGAAAGTGGAAGGTGTATAGTACAGTTGGGGCACTGTCTCTCTGTCCGTTTTGCTTTGGACCTTTTGTGTGCCGAGAGAAAAAGAGTGGTGGCAGGTGTCCCAGGACCTTAGGATTGTCAACCATGAGGCTAGCCTCAGCAGGCTGCTAGAGAATGGCCAGTCTCCCTGCTGCTAAGAGTCTTTCCACTAGCATGGTCTGTGCTCAGCCTGTCCTGGCTCTCTTTCCCATCCACCCCCTCCTTGCTCTGTACTTGGTGTCCATGTCCTCAAAAGCAACAGGCCCAGGTGACCTCAGCCTTGGCCCCAGCCGTTCCCAGGCCCAGTTCCTTTGGTAACTTGGGGCCTGTCGAGGGGCTTCAGCTGTGCTCAGCTGCATGGTCTGTTCATTCATCCTCTATCTCCAGGCCCCTTGGGGGTGGGGAAGCTGGACCTCAGCTTTCCTAAGAAATACAGATGCACTGCTTCTGCTGCCTGCTGCTTGTTCTTTGCTCAGCCACCTCCTGCACAGGGTGCAGTGCCCAAGTTTGAGAGAAGGGTCTGTGGATTCTATGCAACGGGGATGCTTTTGAGCGTGAAAGAAACCACTGCTAATAAGCATTCTGAGCAGTCAGGAACGGGTCCATCCTGATTAAAGCAGGAAAGAGTCTTATGGAGCCCAACAGATGCCTGGGATTTTTAGCATCTCTGTCTGCACTTCAGGAATGAATGGATTTACCTTCTGCGACTCTGTCATGCCTGGGGCCAATCTCTGGTCAATGGCAGGTCCCCACATGTGTATGTCCAGAGCAAAGCCTGGCACATTGCCTCCCCTTTCCAGTTTTCCAAGTCCTTTCTCGGGTGAGGGTTGCCCATGCTGCCATCACCCAAGTCAGTGCAACATGGCAATAGAGAGAAGGTACCCCGTGACTCCAGCCACTGGCCCAAGACAACAGGAACTAGCAGGGAAGTCCTCAACAATCCCTGGGAGCCCTTGGGCTTGGGACTTTCAGGGTTAAATCTTGGCCCAGCAGGGACTGCTCCCAGCTCCCAGTAGAGTGAGTGTGAATAACAATAGCAGTGGGGAGACTGAGCTGAAAAGCCTGGGCCTGCTGGGTGGGAGGTTCACTGGGGTTGCCTGGTGAGGGACAGCACTGTCTGGCACCTTACCTGGTGCAATGCCTGTGCTTTGGGTTGGGGAGTAGGTAGGAAGTGGACAACTCAGTAGTCTGACCATAGCCCCCTGCAGTTCTGCATTGCCTTGGCCATAGCCACTCAGCACAGCACTGCTGGCTTTTTCACTTTGAACTGGGGCTCCGGCTGCCCCAAGTGCATAGTATGTGTTTGATTGGGGGAGGGGGATGCCTGGTCACCGGCATCTTTTCTCTGGAGGCCTGGGCTCCATCTCCCCCATTCCCACTGCCTGACAGCTTGCCTTTTTCATGGTAAAACTAACAAGGCAGCCCTGGTTTGTCTCCTGAGTTAGTTCTGATCTTTCACCCTACACTGGCCCTAAGGACTACCTCCTACCTTGCGCTCCTCCGGCCCAGGCCCTCTTTAGGGCTTTTCCAGCAAGATCCACTTGTGGCCCTCCAACTTCGTGTTCTAGGTAGGGTCCTCAGAAGTTAGACTTGACCTCTTCCCTAACCTAGCAGGCAAGTTCCCTGTCTCATCTGTGGTATCCTTCTGTGGCTGGCTTGGGAACCCTGAGTTGGGGGAGGGATTGGTGATGTTTTGGTAATGCTTTTGAAGGAGTAGACAGGTTCTTATCCACTAAGGCCCCTTCCTGGCTCTGCGTCATCAGACCCCACTCTGGGGTCTGCATTGCTCCTCAAGCTGTCCAGACCTTAGGTCATAGGGACCCTGGGCTGAAAGGATAGTGGAGGAACCAGTCCTTGCATAGCTGCTGGTATCCTGATTCCACTGGAGACAGAGTAGGGGCAGTCCATACTTACTTCAGGTGAGGCTGGGGGCATTGCAGTAGGGAAGAAAGCAGGCACAGGCAAGCCAGGTGGGCTCTTCTCATTGCCTGCCTTATGTCCTGCAGGTTGGAGGGACCCCATGACACATACTCGGAGGAAGTCCTTTCCCATGCTGAGTTCTGGCCCCACTGGCCACAGGGAGCCCTTGCAGATGGAAGATAGCAATATGGAGCAGGGGGCTGAGGGTGTGGAGCCAGGCATGCCTGAGAGCCCCGGGCACCTTACAGGGCGCCGCAAGAACTACCCACTGCGGAAGCGCTCGCTGGTTGCCGAGAAGCCAAAGGCCTGCAAAGTGCTGCTGACTCGCCTGGAAAGTGTGGCTGGTCCACGCAGTGCAGATGAGGCCGATGAGCTGCCTCCTGACTTGCCCAAGCCCCCAAGTCCTGCCCCATCCAGTGAGGACCCTGGCCTCGTGCAACCCCGTAAGCGGCGCCTGGCCTCCCTCAACGCAGAGGCCCTCAATAACCTGCTGTTGGAGCGAGAGGACACTAGCAGCCTGGCGAGCAACCGCCGTAGTCGTGGGGGAGACCCCCACCGAAGCCGGGACAGGGCCCCCGGAGGCTGGTCCTCCTCCAAGAAGCGATCTCGACTGGGAGACCTGGGAGAAGGAAACCGGGACCTGTCCCCAGAGCCAGCCCCTGATGAAGGTGCCCGCCGAGATGGAGACTCAGCTCCCAAGAGGCTGGCTAGCCTGAATGCAGCTGCCTTTCTGAAACTGAGCCAGGAGCGAGAGCTACCCCTTAGGCCTCCTCGTGCTCATGCAGAAGCAGATGGGCGCTCCACTGAGCCCCCAGCACCCAAGGTCTTGCGGCCAAAGTGGGCCAAGGTCAATGGCAAGAACTATCCCAAGGCCCGGCAGGGAGCAGACTCTGGGGAGGCTGCAGGCCCACCTGGCTGGCAAGAGCACCCTGAGGAGCTATGGTCATCTGCCACTCCTCATGGTTCATCCATCCAACCACCTTACCAGCCCCTTAGCACGGCTCTGGAGAGTCCCTCCGGGCTGCGCCCCCACCTGCCTCTGCTGATGGGTGGGCAGGCAGCCCTGAAACCAGATCCTGGGCGCCCAGGCGAGGAGTCACCTGCCCCCAAGCAGGAACTACATCAGCCCTCTTTCCCTGCACCTCAGCTGCCCCCCCTGCCAATGCCTGGCAACCCTGCCGACTACAGTGGCCTGTGTGGAGGGCCTGAGCTCACTGCACTAGGCAGCTTCTACCTGTACTGTGGCCAAGATGGGCTGCAGTGTGGGGGCTATTCCCCCTGCCCCATGGTCCCTGAAGGCAAGCTGTCTCCGGTGGCTGCCCCTAATGAGGGGCTTCTCTTGGCCCCCAGCCCAGTACCCTCGGGTACCCCTTTCCAGCATTCTCCCTGGAGCTCCTCTCGCTACTGCTCCAGTGAGGACACTGGAGTGAATGGCTACAGCATCTGTGGAGTGTTGCCCCTGCCTCTCACCCATATTGGCACTGCCTGTGGCGGCTGCCCCTACAAAATGCCTTTTGCAGCAGGTAAGCCCTCTGGGGAGTGAGATGTTCTGGGGAGTTTCTGAGACATAGAATTTCAGGAAGCTGGACTGTGGTTCTGGGCACGAACCCTTTTGGTTCTGACTACTACCTAGAAGGCAGGGGGCTTTAAAAAGGGATGACTCCCCTCATCTGTGCCCCAGGCCTAGAAGCATTCCCAGGAGAGGGACCCTGTATGTAGCTCCTGTGGTCTGCTTTGCCCAGACTGTCGGTGGAGATTTCTTGACCTGGCGTTTGTCTAGCAATGCAGTGTGGAAGGGGCATGAGAGTCTCTCCTCAGTCAATAGATTCCCATTTTAGACTTTTTAGTTAGATATTGAAATTAAGGCTTTTACTAAGTCATTCCCATGTCTCTCTGTCCCCCCTTGCAAACTATCAGTCCTTTCCAAGACCCTGGACTGTCTGCGTGCTGGCCCAACTCAACGTTCATGGGAAGGTTGGTAGTTCCAGGTTCAGGCAGTGGTGCCAGGTACAGTAGGGCTGCTTTACCCTGGCCATTCAGGTCTTGAAAGAAATAAGCACCCAAATGTGGCATTACCTTGCTAGGTGTGGACAGGGTGGGCACACCAGAGAATGGAGCAGCAGAGTTTCCCTGGCATGGTTGGAGTGGGATCAAGGCCTACAGCTCTGGTGTCTGCCTTCCTAGCAAGACCCAGACAGCTGCATGACCCACGGCCAGCTGGTGAGATAGCCCTGGACTGCGAAGGTGTCCCACCTGCCTCTACAAGCTGCCTCCCCAGTTCCTGGGTAGAAGTGAGGTGACTGGAGCCATCCTAGCCAGCAGATCCACACTGTGGCTGGAGAGGGGAGGACTGGCCTTCCCAGAGCTCTCCCCTTCCCCCACACCCTTTCTTGTCAGGGTCTATAAAACAACTTTATACACCACTTGGCTCTGGCCAGACTGGTTGTATTAGGTTCTGGTGTGAGTTGGAGTGCTAAGAAATGGGAGCAGGCTGCTCCTTGGGCTTTTCCTTCTCTTTTGTGCCCCTCCACAGCTAGACACCTACCCCTCACCCTAATAACAAGGCCACCAGTAAACACCATGTGTCAGGCACTGTTGTAAGTGCTTTACATAGTGAGGCCACAAAACATGTAATTGGGCACAGACTCTGGAGCCAAACTTCCTGGAGTGAAATGTTCTCCCCTACTTTCTTTTCATGTGACCAAAGGACAAGTCAGTAACTGTTCTGTGTCTCAGTTCCTTCAGCTGTAAAATGGGAGTTGTAGTCCCTGCTTTGTAGAGTTGTTGTAGGATGAAATGAGTTAAATCCTTCAGAAGGAAAGCAACCAGGGAAACCTGTAGGTATTCGTAAGTGCTACTTAGCATTGCACTGAGGGGCAGAGTGACTTGCCTGAGGTCACATGGCTGGTAAGTGGCAGGTGTGGGACTCATACCCCAGTCTGTCTGGCTCCAGAAACCCTGCTCCTAAGCACTGGCAGCCCTAGAGCAGCCCATCAGAGCTAGCAAAGTTTTTCCACCATTGCTTCTTCGTTCAGCTCGACGGGAAGATGGGAATGTCTGCCAGCCCCTCTCCCAGGTAGAAAAACTCCCCTGCCTTCCCCTGCAGAGGCCCTGTCCTATCTGCCACAAAGAAGCAGGCTCTGGAAGCAGATGGGTGAGAGGAGTTAAGTTTGTCCTTACCTGCATTAATCCACTCTCCTTTTTCTAGAAGGCTGCAGGTCCCTGGGCCATCTGGAATTTCCTCTTCCAGAAGTTGGCCACCCAGCCTCACCTGCCCACCCCCTTCTGGGATGCCCTGTACCCAGTGTGCCACCTGCAGCGGAGCCTGTCCCCCATCTCCAGACACCTACCTCGGAGCCCCAGACAGTAGCCCGCGCGTGCCCTCAGAGTGCCAAGCCTCCTAGTGGTTCCAAGTCGGGTTTGCGCACGGGCTCCGGCTGCAGGCACACTGCGAGGAGCAAGGCTGCCCGCAGGCCCAGTCATCCCAAGCAGCCGCGTGCCCAGCGTCCACGCCCTCGCCGCCGTCGCCGCCGCCGCACCAACGGCTGGGTGCCTGTTGGAGCGGCCTGTGAGAAGGCTGTCTATGTCTTGGTGAGTGCCAGTTTGTAGCTGAGGGGGAGGGGAAGTAGGGACAGGGGGCCTGCAGTGAGATAGGTCACTTTAACCTCAGGAACAAATCATGCTAATCCAGCGCACTTCCTGAGCCCCTACTGATCCTGTACCACATGTCCTGGGGAGGTCAGGTTGCACTTAGTAGCAACCTGTAGTTTCCATCTGTCACTGACTCTTGTGCAGCTACCTGAGTGTCTTCCACCTCTCATCCCTGCTAAGTCTGTGCCTTTGGTCCTGGACTGTAGAATGGGAGACTTTCTGGAGTGCTTTTAGTAAGTGTGTATAGGGGACATTGGGATGGTAGAGAAAATTAGTGCTACAAGAACATCTGGGAAAGTGAAGAGAAAATTTTTTTTCTTTGTTTTTTGAGGGAGGGTCTCATATAGCACAGGCTGGGTTCAAACTTGCTCTGTAGTCCAGGCTGGCCTCAAATTTAGGATCCTCTTACCTTGGCCTCTCAGGTGCTGGTATTACAGGTATATATCACCATGCCTGGCTACTTCTTACATTTGATACCAAAACTAGACTAAGTGCTTTTTATTATCCCCTGTAATCCTCACTATACTCAGTGGTGTATACCTCATGGTCCTGTAATTACCCCCATTTTACAAAAGAGGAAACTGAGGCTTAGCAACAGATAAAATGATTTGCCCAAGGCCAAGCTGCTCAAAATTGTGACTTAAGAGTTCAAAACCAGATAGTCCCATTAGGGATGCTGGGGTGCTTACAGAGAGCTAGCTGTAAAGGCACAACAGAAGCTTTGGGCTCCTTTCCTATCCCTGTTCCGATTCCCCGTCCTTTCTTCAAACATGGGAATTCCCCATCCCCATCCTGTCCCTGGCAGCCAGGCTTTAGAGAGAAGGATCTAGCAAGCAAACATGCTTAGTGGTTTAACTATCCTGGGGAAATCAGAGAGAGGATGTCATTCCCTCCTTCCCTCCATCCACATTCTGAGTGTGGCCCTGAAAGCCTGTTTGTGTCATTGGTTTGTTACCTAGGATGAGCCAGAACCAGCCATCCGAAAGAGCTACCAGGCAGTAGAGCGGCATGGAGAGACAATCCGAGTCCGAGACACTGTCCTCCTTAAGTCAGGCCCAAGAAAGACATCCACACCTTACGTGGCCAAGATCTCTGCCCTCTGGGAGAACCCTGAATCAGGTACACCCCCTCAGGCTGGGAGCCCACATGGCAGCAACCTTCACCAGGATTGTAGGCCCCTAGTTGACCCCTCCATGGAGTTTGGCTTGGCACCAGTCTGTTTCTGGCACAGTCTGCCTTCCACTCAGCTGGGGTCTGTCTACTGCCGAGGCTGTGAAGACCTTGTGTCTTGGGTTGGATCATTAACCTTGCTAGTCACCTGTCCCCCTACCTCACCTCTCAGTGCTTTCTCTCTGACACCCTTCATGCCTAACAGCATTCCAGACCATTGAATGCTTGGCCCGGGGCAAAGGGATATGGGTAGCTGGAGCCTGCGGGATTGGGCCAGGCATGCGATTGGCCAAGCCTCTGGTAGGCAGCCAGCTCTCTGCCTAAGTAACTAAGCTTGCCAACTCCAGCCATGACCTCTTCTGTTGTCCCCAGGAGAGCTGATGATGAGCCTCCTGTGGTATTACAGGCCTGAGCACTTACAGGGGGGCCGCAGCCCCAGCATGCACGAGGTGAGCTTCCTAGCAGGGGCAGGGAGGGCAGGGTGGCACAGTGAGAGGTGGTGGCTCTAAGACATGGCATGGGGAGGGAAGCCATAAGCAACCAAGTGCCTGGGCTTGCCACCTTGGATGCCAGAGAGCCTTGGGTTTTGCCTCTTTCCAACATGGCCTTTGTCTTCAAATGAGGACAGAAAAGGAACCCTAAGGGCAGGGGCTGTCAAAATGGGAGGAAGTGGATGTGCCTTGACAGCAGGAGTAAGGGGGTAGAGCCGTACATCTCACCCCTAGTGTCGCACGAAGTGTGAAAGGAGGAGAGACAAGAGTTCCCAATACCCCAAACTCTCTATCAAGTGGTAGGCCTGCAAACTGGTGGTCATCCAGGCTCATCTTTTATTTCCTTTCCCCTTGCAGGGACTTTTCATCTAACTGGGAAAATGGGAATGAGTTTCAGTTCCCTCCTGGTCCGGGGTGGGCAGTCGGGGTTGAGGAGTCAGTGACAGGGTGGACCTGACCACTTCTAAGTAGGGTGAACCCTGAGAGGAACCCAGAAGGAACACCCAGGATCAGTAGGTGAGGTGTACCTACACAGAATCTGAGAAGCTCCCTGGTCCCAGCAGGGGGATAATTCCTGCCTTACTCGTGGAGTTAGGTGCCTCTTTCCAGCTCCTATAACCAACCCCTCATGTCTCCCTTTGAGCCTTTGCAGAATGAAGTGTTTGCTTCGCGACATCAGGACCAGAACAGTGTGGCCTGCATCGAGGAGAAGTGCTATGTGCTCACCTTTGCCGAGTACTGCAGGTCGGTAGTGCCCTGCACTCTCTGGGGCCACTTGGGGGCTTCATGGGATTCCAGAAGAGATCACATTCTTCTCTGGGCCCTGTCTCACTCACCAGCTCAGAACTTTGTTCCTTACAACTTGCTTCACCAGCTGATATTTTTAGAAGAAAAAAGTACACTCTATGCTCCTGAGGTAGAGTAGCTGGATCAGAGTTGGGGGTGACAGTACTGCTCTGGAAAAAAATCTAGGGGAACTGACAGGTGATTGGGAGGGAGGCCCAATAGGTGTTGCTGGGAGCAGAGATGTGCTGGTGGGTGGCAGAGCAAATGTAGCCCCGGGGACAAGAGCAGAGGCAGCACCACCCCTTGGAGACAGGAGGAGGGAGGAATTGATCTTCCCACAAAGATGGCTGTGGTAAAAATAATGCATGTTCTCTCACTGCAGATTCTGTGCCATGGCCAAGCGCCGAGGTGAAGGCCTTCCAAGCCGAAAGACAGCACTGGTACCCCCATCTGCAGACTACTCCACCCCGCCACACCGCACAGTGCCGGAGGACACGGACCCTGAGCTGGTGTTCCTTTGCCGCCATGTCTATGATTTCCGTCATGGCCGCATCCTCAAGAACCCCCAGTAGCCTCTTTGTGCCCACACTGGGGCTGCCCTTGGGCAAGTAGGGCTCAGGGCAAGGGGCACTGCTTGAAGCACAGCACTTGGTTAAGGTGCCACAGGGGCATATGGTTGCTGGCCTGTGGTTCTCCTTGGGGGGAGGGCAGGGGCCTCTGTGGGTTCTGGGGCCACAAGGGAGGGAAGGGGAGGCCAGGGCATGAGAAAAGCAACAGAGCCCTCAGCTTGGCCCATGATGCCTGTTTGTGGTCCCCTGGGTGGAGACTCCTGAAGAATCAGTCTTCCCCGAGGCTGGGCTGAGCCTGAGGGACATGGGCTGACGAAGGGCGGGGTCGAGGAGGGGTAAGGTCCTTCTGGAACCAGGCCCAATAGGTCTATCTTTAGCCTTCCCCGGCTCTCCAAGGGGAGCAGGAGCCAGCTTTACCTCACCCACTGTGACCCACTGCTTCCCCATCAGCCTGGGACCAGGCTCTCCCAGATTCTAGCATAGCTCTGAGCTTATTCTTTGTAGCATAGAGTGCCAGAGTCTGGCTTCCAGAGCATTGACTTCCTCCTTTTGGACTCGGGACCTTTCCCTGGCTTTCTTTTCCTCCTTTGGGCCCTCCCCCCTCAGTAGCCACTGGTGCTGGGACACTTTGACCCGGCCTTTGCAGTCATAGGTGTGGCCCACCTGTGGCAATCAGCCTCCTGTCTGCTTCCTATTGAGGGCTACCCAGCAGGTCTGGCTTCCCAGAAAGTTAACTGTCAACATGGGGTTTGTCATGTCTGGGAGGGCAGATGGGTGCTGGGAGAGGGTGGGGGGCAGGGGGCAAAGAGAATTGCTACCTGATTTGTTGAAGATTTTTCCTCTTGCCTTACACTTGGAGGTTCTGAGAAACCTCTTGCAGAACTTCACACATGATTCTTCAAGCCACACCCACCCAAAATCAAACCAAAGGAGTGCTGTGGCTCCCCTTGCCCTGTCACCCTTCCCCTAGTCTTTTGTAGATTGCACTAATTACATCCCAGTGAGAATCAACACTGTATCAGTCCACAGACCTGCTGAGCTGCAGCCACTCACTCTAGGAGCTAAGGACCTGCATTTTCAGTTTGTTCCCATTGTCCAAGGCCCTGTGCTCACCTGTACTGCTCCCCAGAGTAGATTGGTTAGGACTCTCGGCTCCTGTTGTCCTTGTCTGGATCAGGCCCTGGCCCCAGGCTCTGTGAGGAACTGGAGGCCTGGTTATTTCCTTTGTGTACCAAAGAGGAGCATGGTGGGGAGAGGAGTCGGGTGCTGTGTAGCTTGGGATTTCCACAAGGGTATGCCCCAGGGACAGGAGCCAAGAAGGGCAACACTGGGTCCTCTCAGTTGGGAAGGGAGACACAGGCCCAGTAGACTAAGGAGGTGATGATGGTCTGGCAGGGGCTACAAACAGAGGTGGAAGTGAATCCTGAGGGCAACCCCGCAACCCCGCAACCCCGGAGTCCTGTCCTTAGCCTTAGAAAACGGGTTGCTCCTGACTGGTCATTGGGCTGGGTGAGGACTAGAGGCTTCAGAGGCGAGTCTGTGCTTGGGAAGCTGAATCCCAAGCCTGAAATGAAGGGGCTTGGGTCTGCTTGTATTGAATAAGCTGTTTGGAGGGAGGTGGTGGTCTGGGGAGGGCGGGGCAATAAGAGGTTGACAAGTGGCGTTGGAGGCCCTGGAGAGCTGGCCTGTATATTCCCAGGGTGCTGCCAAGGAGCCCACCCTCACCTATGGGAGAGGTCAAGGCCCCTCCTCCCATGAGGTAGGGCTACTGCCCAGAACTTATGCTTTTGAAATCTCTTAGATGTGGAAATATTTTTTCGAACCTGAAAATGCAGCTGGTAGAATTTCAATGGAAGCATAATCCATGTAAAATATATTTTAGTTGATATTTTGTAAAATGCACTTTTTGTGTGTGTCGATCCTGGTTTCCCAGATCTGTATTTCAGTGTTTACAAGGGAGGGGGAACCTTTCCTTACCTCCCTTTTGACAGAGATTAGAAGTACTTCTTTAAGAGAAAAATAAATTTGAGAAATTGTATTGATTTAGAAAAGGATCATTTCCTGTGTGTCCTGTCATGTTTTGGTGTGTAAATGTAGGTTGACTCACTATGCTTATTTCTGGGGTCCTGGTTAATTATCCCTCATTGAGGGCAACAAGGGCAGGAAAGCAGGGGAAAGAGGAAAGGACACAGAATGGGAACTTGAAATTGACTTACTGACATTGGAATGGCCACTGCTGCCTGCCTGAAATCTTTGGGTTGCCAGCCCTCCTCTCCTGGCCAGTATCCCAAGCAGGTGCATGTAGTTACCACACCAGCACCTTGGGGGACTGTCCAGCCAGCAGAAACTTTTAGGGCCTCCATGTTTTGCAACTGGCACTTGTTGCTTGCTGAGAGAATGACTGGCTGCACCCCTGGTTCAGCCCAGCCTACCCTTAGTGCTAATGGTGGGCAATGTTTGGCAGCTCTAATGTGGGGTTCCTGGCAGACAGAGCCTGGTTGCCCAGCCTTGAGCACTCTTTCCACAGAGGTTATTAGTGGCATTGACACCATTGTGGACACCACTGTGGACCACAGCACTGCCATCAGTGTGCTGCCCACGAGAGTCTTTTAAGATAAGTGGTAGCACCATTTTAGAGACTGGAAGCACTCTGAAGTAAGCACCTTGCCCAAGGACTTCCCTAGAGTAAATAAGAGCCTCGCTTACTGTTAACACTGAGAACTGTCATCTAATAGAAGTGGCTAACTGGTCAAAAACTTTGTTAAAAGGTTTTTTTTTTTTCTCTCTCTCCTAGTATAAAAGATACACTTATTGGGAGGAAAATTCAGTAGAAAATAATACCACTACTAGAAGTCTACATCTGTACCTGTAGTGCTATTGGAAGCCAGTGCAGTGTGATAAAAGTTAAGAGTGGCCTGAGGATGCATCCCAGTGTTCATATGGGGATGTAGGGAAGCTGCTCTAAGGAGCTTCCCATTCCTTTCCCTAATTTACCCTGCATGCTCTCATGTTGCAGGAATTGGGGGCAGTGGGGGGGGGGCTGTCCATGAGCCCTCTAGCTTCATCTTATCCTCCAGAATCCCCTCTCTGTAGTCATGCTAGCTCATTCTCTGACTAGCATCCCCTATTCCTTTCCCATCACTCAAGCAGCCTGTCCTGAGGCCACGTGCTTTCTCCCATCCACTACATGCTGTGCTCGTTAATCTCTGATGGACCACGATTAGAAATTAAGGTTTTAGAATAAGGCCCACCTGCACTCAGTCTGAGCTGCTCTGAGCCTCTTCCTTACTTGTGCTGTTCAATGGGAATGCCCAGGGCACCTCCTTGCCAGGTGGCAGTGACCACTGAGGAAGATAATGAATACACACACACTTAGCAGGTACCTGCCTCATGATCTATGCCTGGGCTCCACTCTAATCTACTTGGGCTTCAGAACCTTGCTGGCTCCCCACACAGAGCACGGTCAAGTGTGGGTGCTTAGCTGGGTTCCCAGTTGGACAGGGAAGTGCTGGCTGCTGATATCCAAAGCACCCTGGGACCTACCTCTGCCCACATGGCCAGGCTGGTGCCACAGATCACACATTTGGCCCTACGAAAGAAGGCCATTAGCTGTTTTCCTGCTGCGATGTTCCCCAGCTAACCCTTCAAAATGTGTGCATTGTCACACTAGTGGTCCTGAGGTACCAACTTGTCCCTACCCCAGAGTACTCAGTGTTTCAGGCTTAGAGGAGGGGCTATTTCTAGACATTCTGGGATTACCCAGTGGATAAGCACCATAGCCCCCAGGTGTAACCAAACCAAAGGGTCATCATGGGTGGAGACATTAAAACAGTGCTTCAGTCTTGCTCCTCTTTCTTGGAGTGGCGGGGACCTGCAGGGCTGAGGAAGATAAGGGCGGATAGGGGAGGCACACGGAGAGTTCAGCAGCCAGTGAGAAAGACGGGTGTCCCAACCCGCAGAGAGGAACAGTTCAGCCCGGACAGATTGACGCGGTGTGGGGGTGCGGGTTTTCAGTCCAGCATCCTTGATGGCACGAGTTACGGGAGAGGGGACAGCAGCCTAGTTCTTTTCTGCCTTTGGGGTCTCATCAGGCTTTTGTCCCCAAGCCCGGGAGACTGGGGCAGCCCTGGCTCAGGCGCTCTTCCCGAGAGGGGGTCCGCCCCTCTCCCCGCCCCCGGCGTGGGTCCGCCCCGCGCCTGTGTCACGGCGGGGCCGGGGGCGGAGAACAGCCGGGCGGGACATCCGGCCCTGGTCCCTCACCGCGCCCGCTCGCTCGCCGCCCGCGCTGCAGCCCCGGAGCCGGCCACCCCCGCGCGCCCAGCCCTCCCCTCCCCGAGACCTGCGGGCTCTGCGGGCCCCAAATCTCTCCCGCCCCCAGCCCGGGCCGCCCTCGGATCGGCCGGGCCTACGCAGGCCCCCACCCCAGGAGCACCATGTTCCCCCGCCCGCTGACCCCGCTGGCGGCCCCAAATGGCGCCGAGCCCCTGGGCCGGGCGCTGAGGCGGGCCCCATTGGGCAGGGCCCGGGCTGGCCTCGGGGGACCACCACTGCTACTGCCGTCTATGCTGATGTTCGCGGTGATCGTGGCCTCCAGCGGGCTACTGCTCATGATCGAACGGGGCATCCTGGCGGAGATGAAGCCCCTTCCCCTGCACCCTTCTAGCCACCAGGGCGCGGCCTGGCGCGGGGCAATGCCCAAGTCCGGGGGCCTGTCCCTGGATGATGGGGACTCAGACTTGCAAGTGCGGCAGGACGTCCGGAACAGGACCTTAAAGGCGGTGTGCGGACAGCCAGGCATGCCCCGGGACCCCTGGGACTTGTCCGTGGGGCAGCGGCGCACCCTGCTCCGCCACATCCTCGTAAGTGACCGCTACCGCTTCCTCTACTGCTACGTCCCCAAAGTGGCCTGCTCCAACTGGAAGCGGGTGCTGAAGGTGCTGGCCGGCGTCCTGGACAGCGTGGACGTCCGCCTCAAGATGGACCACCGCAGTGACCTGGTGTTCCTGGCAGACCTGCGGCCGGATGAGATTCGCTACCGCCTGCAGCACTACTTCAAGTTCCTGTTTGTGCGGGACCCCTTAGAACGCCTCTTTCCGCTTACCGCAACAAGTTTGGCGAGATCCGAGAGTACCAGCAGCGTTATGGGGCCGAGATCGTGAGGCGGTACAGGGCTGGAGCTGGGCCCAGTCCTGCAGGGGACGATGTCACCTTCCCTGAGTTCCTGAGATACCTGGCGGATGAGGACCCTGAGCGAATGAATGAGCACTGGATGCCTGTGTACCACCTGTGCCAACCTTGTGCCGTGCACTACGACTTTGTGGGCTCCTATGAGAGGCTGGAGGCCGATGCCAACCAGGTGCTGGAGTGGGTGCAGGCACCACCCCATGTCCGGTTCCCAGCTCGCCAAGCCTGGTACCGGCCAGCCAGTCCTGAAAGCCTGCACTACCACCTGTGCAATGCCCCACGGGCCCTGCTGCAGGATGTGCTGCCCAAGTATATCCTGGACTTCTCCCTCTTTGCCTACCCATTGCCTAATGTCACCAGGGAGGCCTGTCACCAGTGACCGTGGAGCCAGCAGCTTTGGGGGCTGGTTTCAACAACACCGGCTTCTGTTACTTCTCCTGCTGTTCAGACAAACCCTGGGTCTGGGGCTTGAGACTTCTCCAGATGTCCAGACATCTGGGTGGCAGGGACTATCCTCCAGAGTTCCTTGTCCAGACAAGGTGCGCACAGAGACTCAGGGCAGATTTAGACAAGGGGTCTGCTGCACCCCACCGGGGATCTCTTATGGCCAGACAACTGTTCATTAGCGCAGACACACATCTGACCTAAAGACTGGCTCGGGGCCTCTGGCTACAGGCCTTGTGCAGTCCACCTTAATTTAACCTGTGGCCAACCCCTGAAGTGTCACTAACCCTGTGGCTCTGATACTCCCCTTCAACCACCCATGTGCCTCAGGACTGGAGTGAGCAGTTGTGCCTTTAAGTGACTTTTGTCTTTCTGCTCCAAACTCACAATTTCCTACACCTGCCAGAGTCTTTCCATTTTTGCATGGGAAGCATAACTGAAGCGGGGCAGGGCGCTTGCCTGGTAGCTCCACGATCCAGCCGTGCAGGCATCCAAAGACCCCCTGTGCACAGCCTTTTTCTAGGGCTCTGAGGACCTCTTTCCTAATTCTCCCTTCCCTCCCTTCAAGACCTTCCAGGCTGTGACTGTGGCTGGTATATCTGGCAGCCACTTTTCTAATGCATTTATTTAAAATTTATACGTTTTGATAGAATCTTTGGGAGAGCTTCCACCCTCCCCCCATAGATGGATTTTTTAATAAAGCTGTTTTATATACAAAATAAGCATCTCAGTTATTCCCCCTCTGAGTTTGTGTGGGCCCAGTAGCTGTCTGTGTGCCAGGTCAGGAGAGGAGAGGAAATGTGTAGGCAGAGACAGTAAGATAAAGTGTAATTTGCTTGGGCAGCAGACCCAGTGGGCCACTGCGACACCATCAATTCTTTGGGGGTTTCGCAAACTCATCTTCTAAGATGCCACCGAAAGGCAAGCCCAATTAGAAATGGCCCCAGGACCAAAGCACACCCACCTGAACTAGTCCCGGAAGAGAGGAATGGATAGAAGGTATGGGCTCCACCTCATTTTAGGAACAGAGATGGAGTCTTGCTATGTTAACTAGTCTGGACTCGAACTCATGCTCCTCCTCCATCTGCTTCCAGAGTGGCTGAGATAGACACAGGCTGCCATGTCCAGAATAATTCTTGGGTGAGGAGGCCCCCAGAGTCTTTTCAACTGAAAAAGAGGTAGCTGTGTGAGCAAAGGGAAGTTATTTCCTAGCATTGAGAATAACAAGGAAGGAGCTGCCAACAAGTCAGTCCTGTGAGCTTCCTGGCCCTTGGGAGCCCCCTACTCCCATCCCATTCTTTGCCTAGCACCTATCGCAAATCCAGACCTGTGCAGCCAGTTAGTTCCCCTCACCAGGGCTGGCAGCAGGGAACCCAGAGAACACTGGGTCCAGCTGTGTTCTGCCTCATCCCATGTAACTCTCAGAACAGCCCAGTGCCTGCAGGGTTATTCTGCTTTACAGACAGTCCCAGCACTGACAGAGTAAGCAACCTGCCCAAAGTGCCCAATCCACATGTGTGTGCCTAATGGGACAAAGACAGACAGACAGATGGACACTAGGAGAACTAGAAATTTTGGAAGATGAGAGTAGAGGTGGAAGATAGAAAGATGTTAGCTGAATGGTAGAGGGGATTGTTGTGTATGTGTTGGCAGGGCGGGGGTGGTGTTAACAAACCTTCCTCTGTTCTTTTATTTGCAAAGAATCTGATCCATCCCTGGTGGACTGGGAGACAAGTGAAGTCCCCGGATGTGAAAAGTTTATTGGCTACTCTTTCCTAGACAGAAGAGGGGTGCTGGACTCTAGAGCATCCTAACAGCCAGAAATGGACAATGTGGTATAGGGAGGAGGCTTTGAGGTAAGAGAAGAGGACAGGGAACTGCAAGACAGACTGTACCTGCTGGGCCATTTTTCCCCTAGAGTCAGCTCCTGAGGAATTTAATTTGTCATCTATTCTTCCTTTCTGGAAAATGGGCTTCTGAAAAGAAGCTTCCCAGGAAATGGCAGAGTTGTGGGGCCCAGCTGACCCTATTGCACCTAACACTGGGTGTCTAGACCAGTGCAGGAGTGTCCTGCAGACTTTGGATCACCAGGGGTAGGGCCTTCAAGACTGGACCCAAGGTCTGTGTCTTCTTGGAATTCCTTCTTTTCACTGGGTCAGCTCTGACTCAGAGCCAAGTCCTGTGCTCTAAGACTGGCCCCTCATGGGAAGGGACCTCTTTAGAAGTCACTCCATCCAGGACAGCCCAGTTCCCTTGGGCCCAGGGGGATGGGGCTGGCATTGTTTAATTTCTCTCAGAGCTGAGGAAAAAGGAGGAGCCCCAGGGCTCTGGCATCCAAGGTCTAGGCCTGACTCCACCTCCCGGCTCCAATCCTGGTCCATTTCTTATTCTGTCTGAAACTATTGCCCAGAGAGCACCTTAAATTCTGAGGTCTTTCTCCTTCCCTTCCTTCCTCCACCTCTGGCCCTCTCTGCAGATCACACCATACTAGTCCCTGCAAGAAGCCATAGCCCACCTGTGGTTCACACAGAACCCTACTTCTCCATCACCAGAGGGGGCGGGGCTCCCAAGCCCTTCTCAGGATGGACCCAGTGCCTTTCCATCCAGCCCCTGCTTGACTTCAAGCAAGAGGAAGGCCTTCTTTTGTTCCTAAAGGGATACATTAGTAACTAACAATGACCACTCAGGGCTCTCCGTTTTCACAACCCAGCACAGTGAGTAAAATGCCCATGTTATAGAAAAGGAAACTAAGCCTAAGTGATTTTCCCAAAGAGATGGTGGGTTCAGGATTAAAATCCAGTGCTAACAGGAGTTTGCTCCCTCAGAAATGAACATCAAGCAGGCATCATGGCTCATGCCTGCAAGCCTAGCTACTTGGGAAGCTGAGATCCAGAGGATCATGATTCCAAGACAGCCTGGGGAAACAGTTCACAAGACCCCATTGCAACCAATAGCTGGGCACAGTAGCTCACACCTGTCATCCTAAGCCTTGGGAATCTGAGATCAAGAGAATTGTGGTGGTTCCATGTCAGCCTGAGCAATTAAAAAAAAAGTTTGTGAGACCCCCCCCCATCAAAAAGATCTGAGCGTAGTGGCTCATGTCTGTCATCCCAGCAACTATGGGAAGTTTGGGATCACCATCCAGGCTGACTTGGGGGAAAAAAAAAGTGAGCCGGTGCCTCACGCCTGTAATCCTAGCTACTCAAAAGTCAGAGATCAGAAGGATTGTGGTTTGAAGCCAACCCAGGCAAATACTTCTAGGGACCCTATCTCGAAAAAAAAACCTTCACAAAAAAGGCTGGCGAAGTGGCTCAAGGTGTAGTTCAAACCCCAGTACTGGAAAAAAAAAAAGTGAGCCGATCTCCCAAAAGAAACAGAGCAAAAAGGGCTGAAGGCTTTGAAGTGGTAAAGCACTTTCTTGTAAGCATGAAGTCCCCAGTACTGCCCGCCGCTCCCCCAGAAACGTGAGCATCATTCTAGGTCACCCAGCCCATTTCACTTGTGGATGAGTCTGTGTTTGTGCCCTTCCCCGCTCCTCCTTTCCGCCTATGCACAGGTGATGGTGTCTACAGCATTTGCTGACGTAAAGTCCACAGGTCTGCCCACCCACCCCAAGGATCAACTTTCTGGTACCACTAGCCCAGACCATGAATGTGTTACTTGCCACTTGGGGTTCTTGAAGAAGCAGAATCAAATGCACAAGACATTTACTGGAAGGAGCTGGCCATGGTGGCTCACACCTGTAATCCCCATCACAGGCAGGCAGATCCAGAGTTCAAGGCCAGCCTGGGCTATCCTGTCTCAAAAAATATAAATAAAAAAATAAATTTTTAGCAATTTTAAAGTAAAAAAATTTTTACTGGGAAAAATCACCTGTGAAGGAGAAAAGGGAAAGAAGCAGGGGTGGGCAGGAAGAGCTACACCTGTGAAAGGAGAGCAGGGTAAGGAAGAGACCAGTAAGACTCAGTTTACAATGGTTCTCTAAGGAAGTTTCAGCCAGGCCAATGCAGGGTGGGGGGGGGTCCCAGAAAAAAATATTAGAAGGCACTCTCCTTGGGAAAGGTGTTCAAGTGTTAGTACCCCAGCCATGCTGGAAGCAGCCAGGGAAATGTGGACACTGAGGTAGACAGAAAGGTACAGCGTGGGAAGAGGAAGAGAGGCTGTCACAACAGAATTCTCCCAGCAGGTTACACTAATGTGAGACTCTAGCAGTGCCTCCATGCCAGCCACACAGAGCCAGTGTGCCACACAGAGCTTTGAACATGCTAGACAAATGCTCCACCACCAAGCTACAGCCTCAGTCCTTGGTTTTTTTGAGACAGGGTCTCGTTACATAGTCTAGGCTGTTCTTGAACTTTCAATCCTCTTGCCTCAGCCCCCTGAGTGCTGAGATTATAAATGTACCCCTCCATGCCCAGCCATAAAGACCTTTTGAACAATCAGAAAACAGCTGTTGGCCTTGTAAGAGCCTCTAGATGTCTGGGACTGGAGGGAATCTGCACAACCTGCTCTTCCCCATGGCTATCACCTGGCCTTTTAAATGGATTGCTGCCCTGCCCTTTACCTGGGCATTGGAAGATGTGTGGCGTCACAGTATCCACGCCTTATTTGCAGGGTCTTTTCTATACAGTTTACCCATTTACTGCAGTTTTTTTTTTTTTTTTTCTTTTTCTTTTTCAGGCCTGGGGTTTGAACTCAAGGCCTATACCTTGAGCCAGTCTTCAAGCTCTTTTTTGTGATGCGTATTTTTGAGATAGGGTCTCTTGAACTATTTGCCCAGGGCTGGCTTCAAACCCCAATCCTCCTGATCTCTGCCTCCTGAGTAGCTAGGATCACAGGCAGGAGCCACCAGTGCCCAGCTTATTTTGGGTTTTGGTTAAGTTTGGATTTTGTCTTTGTCATTAATTGGTTGATGTTGACAATGGCATTCCATAGATTCCCTCTCTCATAGGTTCACATCCTTTCAGCTGGAGTGGGGCAGGCAGAGGGCCAACTCACTCAGAGGGGATTACAGAGAGTGAGTCTAGACGCTGGTGCTCCAGACCTCCCTGGTCCACATAGTCCAGGCTGGACCTGCCAGGGGCAGGTTGAGAGAGAAGGGAAGTCCCCCAAAGACAACTTCCATGTATATGAAAACTAGATGTTCTGTAGCACCCCCACCTGCTCCTGCAAGGAATCCCCACAGAGGCAAAGAGAATCACAAGATAGTCCCAATTTTGGCATTTCAAGGGGATAAGGAGGAGCAAGGTCAGGCCAGGTCACATACTGGCCCACAAAGTTGCTTCCAGCAGGAAAGCTGGGCCAATCTTGGCCTTGGGTAGGGCTTTGGGGTGGGGCACAGAAATATATGAGCAGCTTCTGTGGTATC